ACTCTTCCTCACCTTCACCAGCCCCTCACCCGAAACCTTTTCTCACCTTCACAAGCCCCTCACTTCAAACCCTTCCTCACCCCAAGCCCTTCCTCGCCTTTTCCAGCCCCTCATCGCCCGCACCGAAACCCTTCCTCGCCTTCACCAGCCCCTCATACTCGTCATCCCACAGCTCCCCAGCTGCCCCTCACCTCCACACCACCTCCTCAGTCCAGACACCSCTCACAAACCAAGCTCCCGCCGCCCCCCTTACCTGCCCCCGGGTCTCCCCCAGCACCCGGGACCTGCTCCGTGCGGCGGAGGGGGGAGGCGGCAGCGCCGGGGAGGGCGGGGGGGATGAGGGAGGGAAGGAGGGAAGGGACGAGGTCACTGACGGCGGCGCGAGCGCGGCAGCACCGGGCAGCGGCGGCCGCTTTATACCGGGTCCTCGGGAACCGGCACCCGCTTCCGCTTCCGCTTCCGCCCCCTCCCGCCCCCGGGCTCATGAATATGCAGCGAGAGAGGTGTGGCCTCCCAGGGGTACGTGAGGTGTGGGTTATGAATATGTAGCAAAGAGGCGTGCTGTCCTCAGGCTGTGGGGGTGTTGGTCATGAATATGCAATGAGGGGCGTGGCCTCYGGGCGGAGGGGACGGGCGGGGGGCGTTGCTGGGTGACGGCAGGAGGGCTACGGGGGCTACCGGGCATCCGCCCCAGGGGCGCCCACCTGAGGGGAGCCGAGGTCGGAGATGGCCGGGCGAGTGTGAGAGTGACAGCGGCACAGAGTGACCCAGGACATTCACAAGGAACGTCGAGTCCGGCTGCAAGCCCTGCACGGGACAGCCCCAGCAATCCCACCATGTGCCTGAGAGCTGTCCAAACACACCCTGAGCTCTGCCACGCTTGGTGCTGTGGCCACTTCCCTGGGAAACTATTCTAATGGCCAACTACCATCTGCGAGAAGMACTTTTTTGTAATATTCAACCTAAGCCTCCCTGACACAACTTCATGCCATTCCCTTGAGTCCCGTCACTGGTCCCCACAGAGAAGAGATGAGTGCCTGCCCTTCCTCTTTCTCCTCAGAAGGAATCTGTAACTGCAATGAGTCTCCTCCGGGGTGAACAGACCAAGTGTCCTCAGCCACTCTTTGTATGGCTTCTTCTGAAGGCTCTTCACCATCTTCATTACCCTACTTTAGATGTTCTCTGATAGCTTTCTATTTTTCTTATATTGTGGTGCCCAAAACTGCAATATAAAAGGTGAGCAGAGCAGAGTGCAGAGCAGAGTGGGACAAACCCCTCYTTTACCTGGCTGGTGATGCTGTGCTTTATGCTCCCCAGGACCCTGTCGGCCCTTCTGACTGACTCAGATTCAACTTGTCTTCAACCAGGACCCCCAGGTCCCTTTCTGCAATGCTTCTTTTCAGCATCTCATTCCCCAGTTTATGTCAGAGGGGTTTGTCCCGCTGTCCAAGGGCAAAGGATGAGCCTGTCCACACTGCTCCTGGTTTGAGGAGGGGTTCTTAGTTGGAAAGAGAGCATGAGGGTGGATGGAGGCTCCACCTGCACTGTCCCTGCCAGGTAGAGGGCATTTGCATAGAAACAAGGTGCAGAAACGAGCCCCTTGATCCATCAGGCAAAGTTGTGCCRAGTACAGCTCCAAACCAACAGCTTGGAAAGTGCAGGAGCAGATGCCTTTCTCTGCCTGAGATACTACAAAAATGCTGGCCCCAAATTGCTGAAATTGTCCTTCATCATGAAGAAAAATAACACCTTTTYCCCATGTTTGGCTACAGTCAAGGTCCCATCCTGCCTTCCCACCTTGTCTCTGCTGGTCTGCCCACTAGAGGCCATGAGCTGCCTCCCTTCATGTCCAGCCCAGCGCTGCAATGGGCTGGCTGTGTGCCAGGCCACATGGAGAGGGTGACATGTGGCATTTGTCATGTATTTGTCACATCTGCAGAACACAACCCTCAGCACACAATGCCCAGTGACCCTCAGGACATTGAAATATTTCGTTCCCCGTGGCAGCCATAGSTCTTCCACACTGGAAGCACTTCCTACAAATTTGCCATAAAAGATCATGTTTTTTTAGTGCTGGCGTGTGTTTTTGTATTCCCAATTAAGGTCTCCTAGCCTTAATTGGGCTGACTGCATTGTTCAGGGTAGCGTGATACTTAATTTTCATTACTTACATAAACTGGGGATGCATAAAGCAGCGTGCGAGTGGCATGTAAAAATGCACATTACATTGCGTAAGTGTAATTGTTTTCTGTTTCTCGACACGCCATTAAGTATATATTCCAAAACAATTTTTTTTAATGGTGAACTTCTTTCTCTACAACTCATGAATAAATAAACCACGAAGCATACCAGACTTCAGAAAAGGAAAACCACAGAAGGCAAAATGGAAGAACTGTACGCATCTATTAAAAAGAAAAATGAATCTTGAGTCTAACAAAAAGACTCTATTACAAGTCCTAAAGAAGCAAAAAAAGGCAGTAATATTCTACAATGCTGTTACCAATAGGTATGTTTTTAGCCTAATGAAGACCAAGGGCTGAAAAGCATGCATGACCACAGTCATGCACAACTCACTAAATTACCCATCCTCTGGTGAGGATGCCCAAAGTCCAAAGAATGATGGTTTTGAAGACCTACTACTGTTGTTTATAAACACTAAAAGTGGCAAGATAATTACCTTAGTTAGCCAAATGCTGAAGATAAAGCTTCCACACCCATGACAGCCCAGTGCAAAATCTGCTCTTGACAGCAAAACAGCCATTGTATCATAACTCTGATACATCTTAATAAAACATTAAAGTTTATTCCATAGAAGAAACAAAATACACCTACACTTAAAGAAATGTCTAATTGTTCTGTGATAAGAAAAAATACTTGAGTGACTTTAGTAGAAATTCTGAGACCCTAACACACCTAAAAACACCAAGAAAGAATCTCAAGTTGTCATTACAACTTCTAAGATGTTCTTCTTGTTACCCACGGGTTTCTGGCAGCTCAAGCTACCTGGTATTTTGACACCTCATTTTAAAATAAGTGAAAAAAAAWTTAAATTGCTTCTTTTTTAGCCCTTTTGATGGTTCCTGTTGTGGTGAAGTGTGATCCTTTCCTCAGCCTGACATTTTAGATCCATTCTGGCAGTGTCCAGACATGTCTGGACATGTCCAGCTATTTCTCCATTGTATTTCCTCATATTATTTTCACTCAAGAGTTGTTAATTCTCTGCCTTTAGCTGAACCTAAAGTAAAAAAAGGATAACTTTCCATAAAACAAACATTTTCATTTAAAAAAAATCTGATTTTTCATACTGAGTGAGGGGGTGGAAAAAAATCCAAGCAAACAGACCCACCTTTTCCCTTTGAGGTTCTTACTCAACTCCAAATATTTAACCCATAATAAATAAACGCAYTCTCATGTCTTGGCAGGGGAGAAATGAGTGTCAGTCAGGAGCCTGATGTGCTGTCCAGACGTGTGCTATGTTTGCCTGGGAGAGGGACSAGGAGAAAAGCCCCTGGACTGTGAATGAGAGCGGGGTCGGAGACAATCCCCTAGGTGCTCCCCTCAGGTACCTCCTCAGCARGGTGGCGATTCCTGTTCTTTGGAGTGTCCCTGGGCACCATGTAGGGATTTGAGGCACCTCAGGGAGAGCTTTTTCTACAGAAAGCATCCACAAGTCACCTTAAAATCTCTCTGTGACTCTTCGTATGCACTCATCCACTTCGTTGAGTCATGTGGTTGGAGAACCCCCCAAGGTGCTGATTCCTTGCTTACCCTCACTTCCACTGGTTTGTTTGGCACAGAGTACCCAAGGACTTTAAAAAATACCTTARAACACTGGAGAGCAGCATCCTGCTCCAAACACCTTGCCTTGCATCTTGGCGTAGACACTGGAGCAAGGGGGTCTTCCCTATTTAACGAGATACGTTAATTAACCAGACGGCAGGCTAATAAACGAACTGCCGTACTCCATTTCACAGGTACTTGGCTCACTAAATTGTTATGAAAACTCACCATCCAGCCAAGCCAAACAAACACCACCCCCAATATTATTTTACACGCGTGTCAAAAGAAATAACTTGCCGCAGGCCAAGCGGGTGAAAGAATTTTACGAGGCTGTGTCTGATCCTCCCTTCTCCCCTCCCTCAGACAGTTAAAGAAATGTTTGTATGATGAAAGGGGTAAGGGAGCAGAGGACAGCTGGTTAGGAATTAATGAAATGTTTGAGCATTATCATGCGATAATGGATTTAGCTGACTGTTTGCCAGTGTTCAGATCTAGTGTGAATTGCTTTATATGAAACGAGGGGATTCCTAGATTATACAAACCTCCTGAGACTGCTGCTGCTCCTAAATCCTTTCAAAGCTGCGATTTAAAAAAAAAAAAAAAAGGTAATTTTTCCTCTGGATGGACAGAAGCCTTTGGGATTGTTTTGACTTGCTTTCAGACTTAATGATGTTTGACACAGCCAGCTCTCTGAGGTGTCTCCTAATTGGGAGTGGCCGTGGGTTTGGGAAGCCTGAGGCTACCCTTGAAGCAAAACTGAGCACCCTGAAGAYGCTCAGGTGAGGTCTCCCAACCAGGACATTTGTAAACAGGACATGAAAAATGAGTCTCAACTTTTACACATTTGGCCTGTAACTCAGCCCCAGGGTGTTTCTCACAAAGGGTGATATATCTGATGGGAGACCCAGGCTCTGGACTGGAAACTGCTGTTTATCCTTCTTCCCACCCTCCCCCAACACATGCTATAATTACAATGGAACTTTAATGACTGTGTAAAATGGCCCAGGTCCCTTGCTGCTTTATTTTTTTTGTTTTGCCCTAAAATCGTTGGGATGCTTCTGTTTTTCTCAAATGTGTACTTGTGGCAGGTCAACCAAAGATATTTCATCTGGACACAGACAAGTCTTGAGAAGGTTTTGTGAAGAAGAGAAAGAGACTGTGTGAATTTGTGACTGGCACCCAGAAAGGCAGATTTTCAGGTTAATTCAGGTTGCCCATGTTAGCCAAAATTGACGTTGAATTCTGAGAGCCAAAGGGCTTTCCACAGAACCTGCAGGTATAGARTGTGACTCAGCCCTTTTTCCTGTCACCAGCCCAAAGTCCACCCATTTGGAGCTAGTTGGTTCATGCCACCCCAAAGCAATGTCAACAGTCCTGAGCAAACAGGGTTGTGTAGGTGTAGGGTCCCTTTGCCCTCATCCTGTGCTGAAACCTGGAGTCYCCCTGTGCTGGGCATTGGTGAGGTCCCACCTCAAATCCTGTGGACCTCTCAAAACAGRGACATTGAGGTGCTGGAGTRTGTCCAAAGAAGGGCAACGGAGCTGGGGAAGGGTCTGAATGAGTGGCTGAGGAAACAGGGGTGCTTCAGCCTGGAGGAAAGGAGGCTGAAAGGTCACCATAGAGGTTATCTCTATTGCCCTTAGGGAGATAGTTTSGTG